ATATATATATATATATATACCTACATATCCACAACAATCGTAAAACAATAAAAAAGCACATTAAAAAGCACAACGAGTGTTGGTTGCAAATGTGAAACAAAATTAGAAGAAAGTTAAATGACATTATTGCACATTGTTTAAATATTGCACATTTTGTATAATGAGGTGTATAAATTATGCTGGTATTGCAGGTGATCATTACAAAATAAAGTGACATGTGTCCCACAGACATACAGGTCCTTCTCAAAAAAAGAAAAAAAAAAAAAGAAAAGAAAAATAGCTTGCTGAGGTCAACCTCTGCATCAAAATTCCACATATTTCACCCAGTTTGAATAAATCGTTGAGGTTTCTGTCGAAGCCACAGTGCGTTTATTGTATTCTTACTCAGAAACAAGCAAATTTCTGTCGCGCTCAGTAAGATTTTGTGTGGCTGTTTTAGCACAAACACCAAAAAACAGAGAGCTGTGCAGACAGCAAGTCTCCCTAAATCTAAAGTCGTGAGCTGATAGAAGCTGGCAGGAGAGACTGCAGCGGTCTGCGTCTGGGTGGAGTGTGAACTGGGGGCTTTTTGACTCAAATACAGTCACAAACACAACAACAGAAACACTTTAAATAGAGGTTTGGCGTAGAAGAGCCAAACTGCTATTTAATATGGAAGAAATTATGACAGAAGCACTCATTTCTTTTATGCAGTGTTAAATACTCGAACTGTCGTTGACTCATTTTGGTCTGCAATAGACACAGTGTCCCCGATTCTACTGGTTTAAATGTCCTGGGTTGTGTTTGTGTATGTGTGTGTTCAGGCGTGAACGCCATGCTGAGGAAGGTTGCTGTGGCGGCAGCCTCTAACCCTCAAGTGGAAATCCGCCAGGAAGGCGAGCAATTCTATATTAAAACATCCACCAGCGTGCGTACCACCGAGATCAACTTCCGCATTGGTGAAGAGTACAATGAGGAGACCGTGGATGGACGCAAGTGCAAGGTACAATCACAAGCTGTGAGAGTCTCTGTGGTGCTTAAAATAAAACAACTAAACTTTAAAGATCTAAGACTGGTGATTGTGAAAATACTTGTCTTACAGAGGTCTATATAGTACTTGAAAAAAACTAAGTAAAAGTAAAATCACATGAACAGAAAATGACTTTGGTAAAAATAAATTTTACTGATGAGAAAACTACTCAGGTAAGTCATAAAACTGTTCACCAATATTGGGAAAGTAAAAGTAAAAGTACTTTTACTGACACGATCAGGCACTGATGGACACAGGGACTGAACAGATGAAATAAACAGTTGTTTATTAAGAAATAAACTTGTTTTTAGTCAGACAGGCCAGGGTCAGAGCCAGTGGGTCCAGGTCAAAGCGGGTTGTCAGACAGGCCAGGGTCAGAGCCAGTGGGTCCAGGTCAAAGCGGGTTG